TGTGGTTGGTCATACACCCAGTTATTACTCATCTACAGGACTACGTATCATTTCCCTCTGTGTTTTTGTCATTCCCTTGTTCACTGTATATAATAAATCACTGTATGCACCGAAGCCGGCTACCTGGGTCCACCTCTTTCCTCGTTCGCACACTGACTGGTGCGAACGGCTCCTAACAAAATGCTGCTATATTGAAGGATAAACTCAACAAACCATAAACACACACTGTGTTGTATGGTTTGCCTTTATAGGACCATCTGTGAGAAATGACCTGCGGAGCCCAGTGAAGCTTTTGATGTGAGGAGATACACAAGTAACATGTTAACAGGGATGTTAGCATTGCCCAAACACAGTAGACCACATTTAGCAATCGGTTTAGCAATCACCATAATGTGTGAATTCAAAGTATGCTATGTAACAATAGAATATTTGGAACATTCAGTTTTTTTTGGTAAAAACACACTTATTAAAATTTCAGAAATAATAAGGATAATAATAATCACCATCAGGGGTGACTTGGGGATTCAGTGTCTACCACCAACCCCAACCGTTCTACCCACTGAACCACAGTCGCTCCCCTTTTTTATTATAAGGATAATCACAATCTAAGAGACAGTAGAGTAAAAAAACATAGCCACTGTTTTCATGACTGTACTTCTAAACAGACCAGTTACAGACTACGGACACTTGTACTGGCTACTATACAACTATTTCAGATTATTTATATGATAATGCTTTCAAAATAATTTGTAATATTGTGTAATATATCATGGTAACATGGAAATGTTTGACTGTCAAACAGAACTATCTTGTGTTCTTTATAGACTCACCAATACAATTGTGCCTAGCCAGGATGTTGGATGAACCTGATTTTTTATTTTTTTTACTCTTCTACATGCAAGATATTAAAGTTTTCATATCACCTGCTTAACAATGTACAGTAGTTACATAAAATCTTTGTGAAACAAAATGTTTCTCCACAGGACCCTTACTGATAAACATAGTACTAAATTTAAAAATGACAAAACCTTCCTTAAAACTAAAATACTTTATTTGAAGAAATACAGTGGAAATACTGTATAAACTGGATATGTATGATATAAAAAGGAATAAAATAGCATGTCCCTCAGTTTTCTGCAAACAGTCTGGACCAGGTCTTCCACCAGGGTGAAGGGTTTCTCGTACACTGAAGCCATGTCGGCTGGTAAAGCTGCTGTCGTGATGTGTCTTCCTGTGCACACCCTGAGACATTCCTGGTGCTGCTGGACACTGTGTTGTCTTCAGACGTCACATGACTGGAGCATATCACTCACCTGGTGATAACTTCCTTCCTCTTCCAAAGTAGATCAGGGGCCTATTTCAAGAAGGCGGTTTTGTCGAAACTCAGAGTTTGTTAACCCCGAAATGAGGGCAACTCGGAGTTTTCGGTTTCAGAAACGGAGGTAACTTAAACCCGTGAAGCGGGGTAAGTTAAACCCGTTTCACAAAGAGAGGTAATCTAAACTCAGAGTCAGTTACTATGGCAAATTACTCTGTGACCCTAACCTGCTGGCGAGCAGGTTTTGTTCGGGAAACTCAGAGTTTCCTCCGGGTCTCCGCCCCTTTTTAAAGTGAAAGGTGTTTAATACCTCATTTAATCTTTCAGTACATTCATAGATTGCACACGTTTCCGTCATGCAGAGACCAAAATGGCGTGTCCATTCATAGAGGATCCTGTAGAGGAGGACGCTGTATTAATTCGCAGGGAATTGAATTTAC